TGTATATGTATATAAACACTATTTTATATATGTATATTTTTTCAAGGTTTTATATTTATAATATAATATAATATAATATAATATAGGTGTGTATGACATAATTATTTCGACGGTTTAATGAATTAATTTTCAGATCTGTATCTAGCTAAATTTTTAAATTAACTTTAACGTTAACCTTCTTTCTGTATATGTTGATTCTTTTAGTATAGGCTAAATCTGATCGATCAAGATTTTATATATTCGAAACGACTTACTGACGATTAATTAAGAATTTCTTCTCGATACGTCACGCCGTATGGTAGATACGTCCGATAACAGAGACACTCGCGTACAGTTACCCGCAAGGTACGTCATCCTTGCGCGATCAGGTGTCGTTGCTCTTAACGGACATTAAAATTTCCGCGCGATTATTCATGCCGATAAAATCTCGCCTCGGTCGGACGGTGCACATATAATAACGATCATTTCGTCGCTTCAAGCGCTTCGTGAAACACTTCGCGGAAATCGTCGCATCGTGGACACCGGTCATACGACTTATTCGCGAATACATGGCGCCACCCACAGGTTCTCTATGATGGGTGTGACTTCGTGTTGGCATTCGCGATGCACATTAAGGGAACAGGAACATATGTCGCCGCTGCCTCTCGCGAATATGCTTGTAGATACTCGTTTCCCTTTACGCTATAACGACGCAATCGGCGACTCGCAAATGTGCGAAGTAAAAGAGGAGTAAATCTCAGTAAAAGAGAATTCTGTGATTTAAATCGGCTACCGTTTTGCTTGAAATATCTGCATCAGTAATTTATTGGAAGAAACACAAAAGACGAATTATATTTATTATATATATTAATTGTATGATTTATGGCAATGAGCTTTTTAAATACGTATAACAATCCAGACAACACCCAAAAACGAGACAAAACGTTTTAAAGACGTCTAAAAGATTTTATCTATATTTATTATTTTTAAGATTTTATCAGAAATCATAGAATGAAAAATCTTACAATATTTCAAAATTTACATATATGAAAAATTCTAGAATAAATAGATAAACTGTCTCAGCACTTTTGAAAAATGTTTCAATTTATATAAAAAATCTGAGAAATCTTTTGAAGAGTTATAAAATTATTCAGGAGCTTTGAACATTCTGAAATACAAAAATTCCGAAAAATTATATGAAAAATTGTGAGAAAAATTTTTACCAGTGATCTTAAATGTAATATAAAATTATTGAAATATTTATGACCGCTCAGAAATTTCAAAAGCAAATTTTTTATCAATATTTCCTTATTTACTCCGCGTAATATATACCTGTTTGTAAATTTATATATAAGTCTAATTATTAGTGGTCACCACGATCTGGTTTTGACTCTATTCTCAACTGCACCGCAAGCGTTCGTATAGCTCGTCGTTAGGACAACGTAGGTACGTACGCGTCGTCATTCTATGAAGCAATACACCAGTCGTAGTAATAAAACGCTCTCTCGCTCGTGTCCGTGACATGAAATATCGTGGATCCTTTCACGAAACGAAAATAGAGAATCGTCGGTACGCTCTGGGGAACGTATTCAAGATCTTCCAATTGCGTTTTGCGCGATCCAGCTGTTACGGTGGCTGAGAGAGACGGTAATGCAACGTCGAAGGACATGGTCGACGAATGTCATTCGTCGCATCAAGTTATAAACTATGTCGTTTTTCAAGTCAATATCTATGGATGCCTTGGAGTTGTGCAAATGGTTGCAGTAATTTTGTACAGTCAATTTAAGTAACGTAAAATAGTGACAGTTAATTAAGTTACATAACACAGGACCATAAAAAAATTTTTTTGAAGAGCAACTCAAACCAGAGTAGGTGTTTCTTACAGATTTTAGATCGCTGAATTCGAACTCGTAAACCGTTTTGTAAACCATCACGCCCAGTTTTTTAGTTAATTGAAGAAAATGACGAAAAATCTGTGAAAATTAAAACATTGAGGAAAGAGTAAAACTAAATATGACATTGAAATACACCCAGAAAAAGGTTTCTTCAATTCAAAGAAATGTTTTTTTGCTACACGGTTAAAGAAAAAAATTTTACATAATAATGAGTTTTACCAAATTTTTACTAAAATTTGTAACAAGTAGAACTGAGAGAAAAATGCCGAAGTATTGCGAGACAAATATTACTTTACGACGTTTTTCTTCAATATTTATTAGTCATAAAAAATTGGATTGTGTTGATGAAATATATTTCATTAATTGTAAAAAGGTAAAATAGATGGTTTACTTGCTAGGAATAAATTTTATTTTCCGTATTTAAATAAAGATTTATTTTAGTGAAATGAATATACTTCTCACAAATAAATTTTTAAGTATTTTTTTCTCAGTGTATTTTGAGACTGAGAAAAAAAAAGTGTATTATTAAGGAAATATTTTTTTGTTAAAGATAATCGATTACTTGAAAGAAAAAAGTAAATTGAGTAATTTACTTTTCTTAGCAACAAAATGATATTTTTCTGTGGGTATAATTAATTTAAATGACATAAACCATAAAGTAGAAAAATTTATTGTCATGAGTTAAAAAGAAATATATTTATAAATATATTTTCGAATTTGTGTGTAATGTATGATATTAGATGAAATGTCTCCTGTGTTCTAATAAAAAATGAAGAGTTATCAGTCAATGTGACGAGCACACGAGGAAAGGAGAGAAAATTTTAATCCCGCGTCTACACAAATGTCCGAAGCCGATCTCGCGACGCGAGCGACGCGTACCATCTGTTACAACAGTATTTCCGGTGTCGATGCGCCTCGCGGCTGGCACGTGTCAAATCACGCGAGAGCAACGTGAAATTACAATTTGACTTGCAAGTTTTTGTAAGTCCGGTCGCAGATTGGTCACGGAATCTTGTACTTTAGAAAGCATTTACTCGATACACAATTACTCGTTAACGATAATGTCAACACGTCACTTCGTACCGCATAATATTGCGCATAAGGCGCAATAAAAAACCGATGTTTCACGTTTACCTTTATTCGCCCGAGGATGGCGAATTGGCCGGATCCACGCTCGTGTATGTCTCCTAGAGAGAACCGCGCGACCGGCTGCTGTGGCTGATGCATCTCTCTCGCGAGGGGGAGGGGGCAGCGATGGGGGGACAGGACATTAGCGTTGGGTGCATTCGCGCGCAGCACCGGTTGCATCGGGTACGGTTCAATTCCGTTACGCGGACGTAAGCCGCCGCGGGCTTCCCACGCCAATTAAACATGACTCATTAACGGGCAGGGGAACAGTCGGTAGCCCGGGATCGATGCTTGGTCGAAGAGACGGCGAGTACAGCCGGGGGAGCCCTTCCTATAACTCTCTGTCGCGGCAGTGCAATCGGAACTAATCTCTCGACCATCCTCCTCTCCATTGGTTGTAGCGATGCGATATTACGGGTAAACCGGTAATCGCGCCAGAGCGGCGCGCCACAACGAAATATTTATAGTCGCGAGCTTGCATGCGATCATTCCACGAATCCCTTCGTATCCCCGCGGAACGCGTGCGCTATTCTGACATCTAAATTTTTTTAATCCACTCTTCGCTTTTCACTGGAATGTATCATAACTTGTATCGCGAGTGGATAATACAAGTGCTGTTGCTGTTTAAATATGATGGGTATATTAAATCTATTCAATTATAGAAGAAGAATCTTTATTACCTTCAGCATTAAAAGTTAAGAAGGAGACTTGGTTCACAATTTTTATCTTATCCTCACATCATTTATCCTTTATGCTGACTATTTTTAAATCTAATCCCTACACTATAAAAAGTCTGCATGGAATTCTGGTTGAAAATGGACAGCATTTTCCGGTTGAATCTCTTTCTTATTTTTTTTATCTACAATAAATCTACATGTTATACTTTTCCTGACCGACTCAATTATATAAATTTCTTTGTTATAAATGTTAAACAATTTAATTTTCTTTATGTTATGTCTGAAAATTTGGATTACTCTAATAATCTAATTAAAAGTATACT